AAAAGTGCAAAAAATAAAAAGTCCCAGTAAAAAGTACATTATACAATTTTAAAAGAAAATCATAAATAATGCACTGATACATGTTACAGTCAAACATTTCCATGTAAACCTAAATTGGAATAGTACATTCCAAACAAACACAAAAAATAACACATATATAATAGAAATGAAACTATGCACAAATGACACAAGTTACACTTTTTCCTACCCTTTTATGTTTATCTTGCTGTGGTGTATGTGTGATGTAGTGGGTATTGGGCAAAAATCTGTGGATAAAACTTTGATATCAAGTCAAGTCAGCAACTACCAAAATGTTTTGTAAGGTTTGACAAGCAGCTTCTAGTGGAGAATGTTTTTCCAATTTTTTTTCCAATTACACTGATAACACGAATGCAAAAATGATAAAATTGTGTTTTACCGGGGTTTTTGATTATATGTTTGATACCTACCTTGGTTGTAATAAAAGTAATTGTAAAAGTGGATGAGCAATATGTGGATGTGGATGAGATGGATGAGTAATATGTGATTTCAAGAAAGAAAACACTGACTATGTGACGTGCACTCATTTTTTTCCCACTGAACTTAGATACAAATTGTTAGTACAGAAAACGATTTACTCAGCAGCACTTGTGCTTATTTCAATCAAAAACATACCCAACACTTAATCACAGCAATTTGTCAAATGCTCAAAGTGTGCATGAGCACAATTTTATTTTAAGCACCTGTTTAAGAATTTACTATGTACATTTATTTATCAGCTGCAGGCTGTTCAGAGGAATCAACAATCTGCTCTGTTTTTAGTGTGATTTACAACAAGCACCTATAAAGAAATGTAACACTTGAAAGTTATTGATTGCTTTAACAGCAGTGCTCATTTCACTTATGTGCACACCATTTAGTTTAGACTGCACAATGAATTTAAATGGAACAGTAAGAACATTGTATTGTGTGAAAAGCTGGAACAGTAAGAACATTGTATTGTGTGTGTGAAAAGCTTATATTATATTATATTATATTATATTATATTATATTATATTATATTATATTATATTATATTATATTATATACAGTGCAGTACATTACAGAACATGGAATGAGATAAATATAGGGAGCATAGCATAGCATACTATAGTACAAGACAGTACAGTATAGTATAGTATAGTATCTTATTTTCTTATTTTTCCCAGCAGCAGGAAACACAGTACAGTCTGTTTGCAAGCAGTAAAAACAGAAAAAAAATGGTAGTGAGTTTGATCACAGCTGCAGACAGTCTGTCTCATCTACTGCAGTGAAAGTACATATGGTTAAAAAATCTGAATATTTAGATAATGACTACATTTTTGCCAATGACTATGTTTTTGATAATGACATTGGTGCCTCATACCACCACACTTATTCTGCTTCCCATCAACCAGGACTACGACCTGAGTCAACTGCAGCAGCCCGAGTCTCTGGACCACATCATCAGTAAACCAGCAGGAGTGCGCCGGGTAGACGAGAGGCCTGTGATCACAGAGTCACAGTATCCTGTCAGACCCAGTCTGCCACACCCTGGAGACATAGGAGACTTCATTAATGATGTGAGTGGGAGACTTGGGGACATGGTGTGATGTGTTAGTGACTGTGAATATGAGCAGAACAGTGAAGTAGTTACAGTATTCACAGGGTGTTGATGTGACTGATGTTTGTTTTACCTAACGGCCAAAAAATGTCTGTCGGAACTTCACTGCAATTGACTTTTTTTTTACAGAAAAGAGATGTTCGGCTGTTTACCTTCTTTTCTCCAAAATTGTATTTCCGTGTCCTGGACTGCAGGTGGAGATCTTTTATTGGGCTTTTGTTTACAACTCAATGTCTGGCTTTGAAACAGCATTCACTCCATCATGGAGCAGTAAAACCCTAATAGGAGAAAAGACAGATCAGAGAGTTTATTGTAGCTTTTATAAACTGTTGTTGTTTATTTTCCTTTGCTTTGCAACATAGCAGAAAATGTTACAGTTTGATTCAGTTATATATTTAGATTTGCATCTTACCTAAACTAAACATAAGTGTAACAAGTCTTAAGATTCAAAGTACCGTATTTTCTGGACTATAAGTCGCACTTTTTTTTCCTATTTTGGCTGGGTTTGCGACTTATACTCAGGTGTGACTTATCTGCTGCTCCTGTACCACTGAAAAGTTACACGTTTGTTATTTTTACACTGACAGCCACTAAAGGGCACCAGAGTGTGTTATAGTCCAGAAAATACGGTAAACTTCCATTATTTTATTAACAAATCAAAAAAGTGCTATTCTGCAATTCTTACAATGCTGTTGTTGTATCACTGCGTATCGCACGTGGTGTGTACTGTAGTGGGAGAGGCCTATACTGACTCAGATGATCTATCTTCAAGAAATTCAAGCTTCCTAGTTGCCCCCATCTAAATTGGATGAAAGGATGGAAATAAATTGGACGTTTGAAGAACTGAAATTCAAAACATGTTCCTCGTCTTCTTACAGGGTCTGCGGGCAGCCGACAATGACCCCACAGCTCCTCCCTATGACTCCCTGCTGGTGTTTGATTACGAGGGCAGTGGTTCAACCGCTGGTTCTGTCAGCTCGCTCAACTCCTCCAGCTCAGGGGACCAGGACTACGACTACCTCAATGACTGGGGTCCTCGTTTCAAGAAGTTGGCGGATCTTTATGGTGGAGGGGACGATGACTGAGAGCGGAGCATGGGGCTGGGCAAGGTTCGGGGTCAAGGGAGGCAGGGTCACACGGATGTATGCTCCTCCTCTACACCAAGGGCAGTGGTCAAGATCGTGACGCAGGCTCTAATGGTGGACATGTGAGGAACGGACCTTTTTTTTGTGGGCTGTGTTTGTTCGTTCACAGCGGTCAATTCCACAAACGTGAATTCTGCTGCAACGCAACTGTGTTCTGGCTTTATACCTTTAGTGGCAAGTTTGTATCGTGATTGACATTGTGTTTTTATTTTTCCCCCCATTTTTGTTCTTCTCTCGGCTTGCTGATCCCGGAGCTCTCTGGGGAACAATCAAAGCACTCGTGAGAGACGGAAGAAGTGAATTTGTGCTTTGATTGATTGTTAAAAGTAAATCATTTCCTGCTTTAGTCTCACACTGAAGAGAATATTTGGAGAAGGCACTCTCTAACTCTCTCTTTCACTCTGTCAACTTGAATTTCCTTAGAACAGAAGCACTGTCGTTTTATAAAGTGCCTTTTGTGGTGTGTGTTTTTCTATCAGACTCCTGCAATCTCAGGATCAGTTGCCAGTTGTGCAGTATAGCGGAGGCCCACTCTCCCTATTGGCCACTTGTGCTCCTCAGAACCAGCCCTGCCTGTCATGCTCTCGTCCCTTCCCAGCGGTGCAACTGCAGAAGCCCAGCAGCCAGTCCCAGGAGGGAACTACACAACCAGGGCAAATAATTGGATAGTGAATATCGTAACCCGATGAAGTATAACCTAAAAGAAGCCAATGACAACTGTTTTGGGTGCAGACAACTCTCTTCTCCAAGGACCTGCTAAGTTTGACTTTCACAAAGCATCACCTGTCAACACAGCCACAGCTTCACACTGACATTTTGCGAGACCATTTTTATACACATGGGGTTTTTCTAATTCACTGGAAAATGCCTGCCTTTCCTCTGTGGACTCATGACTTTAGGAGATTTTTTTTTTTATTGAAATGTTAGCCTGCCCTATTTGATTTCATCATGCATTCTCCACCCTGTAAAATTATGTAGGCATGATCTGCTCAGTCAGACACTGTAAGAAGGTAAACCATGACATGACTAGGAACTAAGGCATTTGTTAAAGACCTCCTTGAACATTCCCCTTTTATAGGCCAACAGAGTTATTCAAAGATGCATGTTTTTTTCCCCAAAAATGTTTTACTTAAAGCACTTGTTACTACGTGATGAGAATGTGAAAATAGTCATATAATCTGTATAAAGACACTGAGAAAATAAAACATGCTGTAAGATACCTATTTTTGAAGTATTGAAGACATAGAAGTTGCTGCTCTTTTTCTCTTGCTTGAATTCGGGCAGAGGGGATTTTTGCCTATTCATTTTTGACGTGGATTTTTTGGGGGTTTTTTGTCTTTTGTTCGAGCACCGTTTTATTTTAAAGATGCCTGCATTTAACTTTTTTGTTGTAAAAATTTATTTTATCACTGTGTTACACTTCTTTTATACATACATTAATGTAAAACAAAAACAAAATTGGCCTTCTTTCACTTGTTATCCCTGACAGACGTGTTGCTCCCGTTGCCCTTTGGCCTTAGGACAGTGGAAGGTACATTAGCCATGCCTGCTGATAACTGGTCTATTATTCACTGTATTGCAATTACTTTACTCATTCATCTAGATACTGGATGTGTGCTTTAGGAAATAAACATGTTTAAAAAATGTCATGCCATTTCTCTTCAAATGTGGAACTTTCACAGTCAGTGTTCAGTATTAGTGGAATCTCACATATGCAATGAATGTGTTTTCTGTTGCTGCAAACGTTGTGTTACTTACTGTGTTATGTATTCAATCTCTTACAAAATACACAAGAAGTCACACTGGCTCTATATTAAATCACTAATGAACAGATGACTATGTGATGTGAAAAGAACTGTTTTAGCAGGAGACTGTATATAAAAATGGAAATGTCATTTTGCAATACCCATGCTGGCCACATGGATCCAGAAACCTCTGGGTGCAAAAAACCTCCCAACAAAATCATCTCATGAAATACTTTTCCCATGAGCCAGTTTGATTTGAGTGACTAGATTGTATTGCCTTTACCACCATCATTCTCCTGGTCAAGAGGGTTGTAGAGATATTTCATTTAGAAAAGCCATATTTTTGAGCTATGCTCTCCTAGAGGACAGTATCAGTTCAGTGCACCTGTTATTTTGGACGGGCAGAGTTGTACTGCAGCCTTTGCAATTAGCAGTAAAAAGAAGGAAAGGAGTTCGTAAAAAAGAAAAAAAATTGAGGACAGTTTTTCATTGATTTCTAAAAGCATATATATATATATTTTTTATTTCAGTTTGAAATAAATCCTTACTTAAGGAAAGTAAACTATAAAGTAACTTTTTTTTTCCTCTTAATATTTGCGAATATTTACTTTATGACAAGGCAATTCAATCTAGACACAAATTTAGTGAAACAAAATGTGTTCATAATAACTTACAGTTCTTGCTGTTTTCAGTTCGTTTTTCATCATTAAAGCTGCATTATGTTGAATAGAAATATCTCATATTTAGGTGATAAGATACAGGAGCAAGAGTGGGTTCCTACCTGCCAGATGTTTTTGGGTTTGAAACCGCCTACTCCCCGAAGCCCAGGTTGTTGTGTCAGTAACGGCACACTGCAATAACACAGTGTTTAAGGAAGATAAAGAATATTAGACACTACACACTGACATTTACATTTAAGACATTAATTAGACATCCTTCATACATGTGGTCATAAAAGGTTGTATTTGCATATATCTTCTTACCTTTGTCAGTGAAACATTCAATTTCTAAGTCATGGGGCAGAACTGATTGATCCAGGATTATTTGAGCCCCCTGTTGATTGACCATAAACACAAACACAAACTGCTAGTAGTCCTTTTTTGTTACAACTCGGATGGAGGGGCACCACAGCAGTTTACGGGGTCACAGAGTATGTTTGTGTCCAATCCCGTGATTTCAATTAGTCAGCAGAACTGCCAAAAAGCCTGCTGGGGACTGAAAAAGGTTTTAATCCTCTCTGGCTGTGTGTCTATCAATTAGCCACACCATTAATCCCCACGGCGTAATCTCATTAGATAGAACGCCTTTAATGAGACACGCGGAGACAAAGCACAGACGTAGGGAGTGGGAGAGAGTGAGAAAAATGAGAGGATAGCAGGATGCAGGTAGACCATGTGGGGAGGTGATTAGCAGGATGGAGGAGAGGGTCTGCAGAGGAGGAAGTGGGATTCAAGCACATCGGGGACGAAGCATATTTGGAAAATGGTTTTTGGTAGTGAACCAAAAGGTCACGTGCAAACAAATGAAATGTGTCTTGGAATCAGTATCTGTAGAAAGGGCAGGTGGAGGTGATGAGAGCCGAGGAAGCAGACAGGACTGGTGAAGGACACTGCTTTGATTCCCTACTCAAACCACAGAGGAAAAACCTCCACAACGAACACATTCAGGGAAAAACCTGAGGTTAACCTTCACAGCAGTGGTAATGGATTCTTTCATGGACCTGGAAGAGTAGAGGACCATTGTTCAGAAGACGTTTATGGGCTGCACTGTTTTGAAATAATAATCAGTTGATAAAAAAAAGTCACAGTGTTCAAAGTCTGTCTACAGATAAGAAGATTAACTGCAGGGGAGGTTTCTTTGATGGGTTTAGCTGAAGTTCACTTGGTTTCCCCGTGGCACATCGGCAGAGTAGAAGAACAAAGCAAACTCTAGTTGCCTCCTTGATAAATGGTGCATATAGACTGAGAGCTTTGCTGCTGGCTCACAGCCAGTGCCTTGTGTGTTGTAAATAAAGTTCTTCTCTTCAAACATGTCCGAGCTTGGCTCTTTTCATTTCCTCCTCATACAGCTAGTCGGTCTCTTGGGCCGACGCTGGGAACAATCCAATCAGAAAAACACCAGCTGATGTTGGTTTTGATGCCAGCTGCGTGATCAACTGTTTTCGGTTTAGTGTTGATGTTGCTATTCAGTCGAGGTACCACCCGAGATGGGCTGACTCCGCTGGCTGCTTTCTGCTGACACCGCTCTTAACCTCCTGCTATTTCAGGACTCAGTCTAAAATGAGATCAAAGCGGCAGAATAAATTTGATGTTCCTGCTGCAAGCAGGGGGGGAGGATATCTATGGTTTAATGACCAGCTATTTATGGTAAGGATGGCTGGTCCAGTGGGCACAGGGTGCTTATCAGTCAGAGCTGAAACGCTCCCTGCACTATAAACAGCGTTTGAACAGAGCGTAACCCACCAGCTGCCTTCTGCAGCAGTACACTAAAATGTGTTTTTATTCTTGTACATTACTCTTCTTCAATTTCAAATCTTACAAAAAAATGTTATTCTAAAATCACATCCATAATTTCTAGACTATTAAGCGCACCTGAATATAGGCCGCACCCACTAAATTTAAAAAGAAAAAAAAACAAATCATGAGTCAGGTTTGTGTCTTGTCCTCCGCCGAAGCCCTGAGACTGAATCACCGAACCCTTTGGGTTCGATCGAACCCAGGTTAAGAACCACTGTACTATACCAAAGTTCTTGAACAAATCTCCGAAAAAAAAAGGTTTCTAAAAAATGACACTCATTTGCCTTAAAATACTTAGCTATGTCCATTTTTGTTGTTAAAATTCAGAAAAAATAAACTTTTTTGGTAGCTCAACTTTTGATCACAGTGAATTACTATACCAATAACTTCCTGAACAAATCTCCGGAAAAAAAAGTTTCTCAAAAATGACTAAAAATGCACTAATTTGCCTTAAAATACTTAGCTATGTCCATTTTTGTTGTTAAAATTCAGAAAAAATAAACTTTTTTG